GGGAAAATACTCTTTCAGCCATATTAAATTGAAGGCTGTTTTATTCAAATACATATAGTATTTAAATTAATCAATTTCCCATTAGTTTAACTTCCTTATTTCTATACAAATACTTTTGGGGCAAAATTATTGGATTTAGAAGTTTCAAATCTTTGAATTTATTCTTAGGAGAGAAAGGAGCTAGTTTTGCAGAATTCCTGCATAAGGCAGCTATCTTCTTCAGTAGTGTGTCCTGTGTATTTTCTCTTGCTTTTGCTCAATATTTGGCAAGGCTTTCCATAGAGTCAGATTGTAGTAAACAGCTTTTTTTTAATGATCCAGTCACAAGAAATTCCTCTTGTTTTCCATTGTGTGCAGTAACAAAGGATATATAAAGGAAGTAACCCCTCCTCTGGCATAGATCTTAAGTTAGGAAAAGCAAATACAAATCTGAGCATACATTGCAAGAATCAGATAAGACTGTGTTATTTTCTTAATGATTCACCTAGTCACTGAATGAAAAAGGGTACCATACAATTTCTTTTGTGAATAACTAAACACAGAGAAGATTTAAAATGACCTGTGTAGACACTGATACTTGTGGGGTTGTATTAGAAGTAAAAGTTGTCAGAGAACCTCTGCTGTGTCCAAGTCTTTGGAAGTTAAGGCAAAGCCAGCCTTGAAATCAAACAAAACTGTCCAATAGATACTATGGAAAATTGGTTTGTTTTCAGGCACATATAAAGATTTTGCTTAATCAAGCTACGGAATGGTCTCATTTAACATCTTATTTCATGAAGTAGACAAACAGGTGCTTCTGGGAAGCTCAATTATTAAGCTTGCTTAATAATTTTGCAAATATACTCACCAAGACTGAATGAGTTAAACAATCCAACCAACAGGATATATTGTAAAATCTTATTGCTATAGATTATAGTGTTTTTTCAAAATTGGCAATTTTAAGATGTGTGATCTTCAGCTCTCCAGCATGCTGGCTGGGGAATTCTGGGAACTGAAATGGCCAAGGTTGGAGATCCCTGATCTATACTGTCCTCTGCATGGTCTTCAGAGATTTGTCCATTTGTCCCTGATCCACTTCTGATCATCTATGAGCTGAGTAGTGGAGAGGCCATCACTATTATTAACCTTACCCTACCCTATAACACCTGAAGACAAAATGATTTAATTCTGTGAAAACACCATCCTAATCAGGATCATTAAGTATTTAGTCTCTAGTTACTTCTAAAACATTAACTGTAACTCACACTTTGTAATGCCTTATTTTGTTTTTAATTTTTATTACTAGATTTACCAGATAAGAAGATAATTTCTCCCTTGCCTACCCCAACAATTATACATGAATATGTTAAAAATAAAATGCTGCTGAAAACAAAACAAAAGAATTGTAAAACGGCTGCAGACCTTCTGGTTGCAAAGAAGGATGCCCTGGAAAATTAGCTACCACTTCAAAAAGCCTGTTGCTAAGTGAATTTAACCCTTTTTGTAACACTTAAAGCAGTCTTTCTTCTTTTTTCATTTCTCTACTCAATTACCACTTCCTGTGACTTCATCTCCATCCAATTTTAATATCATATGTCTTTCCTTCTCTTTCCTTCCCTTTCTAGTGAACTTTCCTAGTCTTCTTACCCCATCTTCATTCTATTTTTCCTTCATTTCTCTTTTTGAAGTTTTTACTGGAAAGAGGAAAGGGAATGTGTGTGTATACCCAAATCTTTTGTGTCTGAGAACATGTCTACAGAGACAGAATGATTGAAATATATAGGTGGTATTATATTTTTAAATAGGGTATTTTATTTTGTAGGCAATTAATTTTAAGTAACGATTCAGTTCTTTAATTTAATTACTTTTTTTGTTGATCCTGCCCTGTTTTGGAATGCTGTTTTTAGGAGGTATGCATGCATGCATACAAATATGCACGTATAAGTGGGTCAAATAAAACTTTGATTGGTTAGTGGAAGAATCTCCAAAATCTGCAAATGGCAGCCATAGGTTGACAAAGCGGGAAGCTGGGCATTACCCAGGGTCCTTGTCTGTGTTCTTTTTTCTTATTTTCTTTTGCTATTTATTCTTGGTCTTAAGGAATGGATTGTCTAAAATTTAAAGTAGTTTTTTTTAAAAAATAGAATAAATATGGTACAAGCAGATGTCTCAAAAACAGAAAGTGGTTTCAGCCTCTCTGGATTTCTGAGGAAGCCTGGATTAACTTAAATCAGGTCTACCCAGTCTTTTTGGAGGCCAAAGGGCACTTCTGTCATTTTGCTAATATGTCATAGGCATTCAGAGAAAGAGGCTGACTTAGGAGGGATAGCATATTCACAGAGGGCGAATACACAATTGATGTAGCCAGTCATAAGACAACAATTTGCCCCATGGCAAAATCGTTAGATGCTCAATATCAATAGTTAGTTTATGTTTCTCTTTTGGGGAGGATGGGAGAGGAGGCATTCCCAGTTACAAATATATCTGTTTCCACTCATCCCTTTTGTACTCAAAGAAAGTCTATGGAGCCTATATGAAATTTAAGGGCATTGGATACAGAAATATTTCAGAGACGTTTGCTTTAAAACATGACAACTTTCCTTTAGGTATTTAAAATTGAAACATACATTTAAAAAAGTAGAAACAGGCTTGAAGAATGCCAAAGGGAATATTTCTAGTAACATTAATACGAATCAGGGATTGTCTGTAAGGCAGAGATAAAAGAAGTCAAGATGGTGGAGCTTCAGTTGCAGTCTTCATTGCTATCTTGACCTTTTTTTTTTACTGCCATCCCATGGTCATCCCTGGTATTAAATGTGTCATATTGTGGACTTGAAAAGAAGGCACAGGATTGGACTGTATAATTCTGATTTTTGCCTAATTTGCAAAGCAGTTAGTGTAGGATAATGTCATTTGTTTGGATCCAGGTCCAAACATATTATACTAGAAGATGAAAAGAGAACTATTTGCACTACATTTTTCATTGTCCACCAGCACAGGGACAGTCTGGGGTAATTTATATCACCGTGACTGCGAAGCAGCCAGGATCTCTTTTACCAGCTCAAAATATTTTGGGTCCAGTCTTTGGAATTCTGGAATTTGTAATCCCAACACTTTTGATGGATACAAAATAAGGATTGTCTGAGCTAGAATTAAATGAAAATACAAATATCTGCTCATCTATAGATGTGCACAAAATGGAAGCTAAAAAAAACCAACCATGCTTTGATGAATATCTTGTATACCTTTTGGTAGCATTTAGGTTGGTCCTAATAAAAGTATAACTCAGCAATGGATTAAAAGGAAGGATATGCATATCAGACAATAGCCTATGTTTGAATTGACAGTTACTCACACATACGCAGCTTTGCAATGTTATCTGTAAAGTACATTATGACTAATTTATCTTATAAGCAGTTTCATCATGACCTCTGCATTACAGGAATGTTTGGCTTGCCTTCAGCTTCAAATCATACTGCATAATTTATAGATTACATAATCACACCAGAGAAGGTTAGATGAAAAAGAAATACACACTTCCTCTGTTGGTAACTCTTAGTACTGGAAATTGCCACTTAAACTCTGGAGCAGTGTATCTGAGTCTACAGCCTGTTTTGAAGTGGAAAAAAAGGAATTCTGACTTTTTTTTAAAGTGGGAAGGAAATAATGGAACCCCCCCCAATGCAATTAAAGAATGTTTATCAAGAGGTCACCTAGCACATATGAGCACCAAAATGCTTAAGTCAGTCAGAAGTAATGGCCTGCCAAAACAATTTTATATAGACACAACCACATCCTGTTAGGACTCTATGATAGCAGGAGAATGGTAAAATTAGCTGCTTTCAAATATTCAATTAACATATGTAATGTGATCTCTTCCAGGGTGTATTCACTTGAATATTTGACAGACACACATGTTTTCAGCAGTTCACAGGATGCTGCATGTCATCAGCTTATCAAATGGTTGTATGCACGTTGTGGTTAGTTACCAGGTAATGAACAAGTGTCAGTGCCAACTCAACATATCTTGCTGCCTTAGATAAATTAAGAACTTTGTCTTGCTCCACTCTTTCTGCTTTATTTAAAGCATAGATAGTAACAATAACATAATATAGTTGCAAACAAAACATAACATACTAATTATCAGTTTCATATTTCAGCATTACACAAATATGAACAAACTATACGATGGAATTAAAAACTTAAGAATGAAAGAAAAGGTGGGAAATGTGAGCCATAGGCAAACAAAAATAAAAACCTATGTTGCCTGCAAAAATACTTCCTTGCCCTTCTGTTTTAATCTAATGTTTTTTCAACTGAGAAATAAAGGAGAGAGTTGTCAAATAACAAGAAAACACTTTCTGAATTTTTTTAAAAAAACATTTTCTTTTATGTCATTTTTATTGTTATTGTTGCCATGTTGCTAATAATGGCTGAGCAACACATCCTCTGTCTATCTATCGTGCTTGCCATTTTGTTGGTGTTAATATCAGCAAAGAAACAGTGATCTGAAACAGGATTGTGAGTTCAAAGAAGGGAGGAAATGAAATTTTCTCTTCCTAAGCCTGTCTACCCTTTCTCCATGGCTAAAACGAACAAAAATGGGGATCTAGTGCAGGAATGTAGAAAAGGAAAAAGAGAAATTTATCCCTCCTCAATAATTCATATGAAAATGAGGTATGCAAGTGCACAAAAATGGCAGAGCATGTATTTTGTAAATACGGCATTTTGTGTATAGCTTACAAAAGATTCTGCAGTTAATGAGTCCCTTAATTAAAAGATATACCAACCACGTGAAGTTCAAAACAATAAATTATTCCATGTGCTGCATTTTCTTTCTTATGTCAACTAATTTAACTTTTTAAAACTTCTTTTAAACTATATAACTCTATGGTTTGATCACCTAACCTTTAGGTGGCAGCAAAGAGTTAAGTAGGTTTGTATCTCTTGGTAGCCATCTGGTGGATATCTGTATTTGTGCAGCCAATTATCAGCCACTAAATAAATGCTGCTGAAGAACTGTGCTCGCTTCGGCAGCACATATACTAAAATTGGAACGATACAGAGAAGATTAGCATGGCCCCTGCACAAGGATGACAAATGCTGCTGAAGAACTGGAGTTTGAGAAACAGATTTAGCTGTGAGGGTCAGTGTCAGAGTTGACACATAATGTGAGGAGAGGAAGTGAGACTTCAGGGCTTCACTGAGAAGCTAGTGGTCACTTGGAAGAAAATTCCCTACCAAGGAATAGATACTGAAATAGAAAGCCCCAGTCCTTTCAATTACACCTTCAATTACATGGGCTGATCAACTTCAAGACTTCACACTCAGTGAACTCATTGAAAAAGACAAATAGGAGTGGCTGCAGAAGTTGGGATTCCAGTCTGCCTAGCAGCTAAAACAGGGCTGAAAAATAAGCAGAGACCAGGCTAAACAGGGTATCTCCACAGGAAACCAGCAGAATCAGTTGGAGCCCCAAAACTGGTGGCTTGAAGTACATAATTTCATATATATATCAATGCACTTTATATTGCTGTCATCTTCAGGCTGAATGTTAGAGAAAAATTGCTGTCAGACAACAACAACAACAACAACAACAACAACAACAACAACGATGATGATAATGATGATGATGTTGGAAGGGACCTTGGAGGTCATCTAGTTGAACCCCCTGCTCAAGCAGGAATCCTACATAATTTCAGACAAATGGCTATCCAGTCTCTTCTTAAAAACTTCCAGTGTTGGAGCATTCACAGGTTCTGGAGGCAGATTGTTCCACTGATTAATTGTTTTAACTGTCAGGAAATTTCTCCTTAGTTCTAGGTTGCTTCTCTCTTTGATTAGTTTCTATCCATTGCTTCTTGTCTTGCCTTCAGGTGCTTTGGAGATTAGCTTGACTCCCTCTTCTTTGTGACAACTCCTGAGATATTGGAACACTGCTATCATGTCCCCCTAGTCCTTCTCTTCATTAAACTAGACATACCCATTTCCAGCAACCATTCCTTATACATTTTATTACATTTAAGTTGTCTTCAGCCTGTCTCACCTACAAGAAGACACGGAGATAGGTAGAACGTGCAGATATGTGCTCAGGAAATGTTTAGTGGGTTGTCCTCACCCCAGCACAAGGAGACTCTATTACCATGCCATGTGGGTTAGTTATCTAAGATGTACAACATTATATGTTAAAATAATCATTAGGTAATTATAACTACTGGTACTTCCTGCATCTCGTTTCCCTCTGGCTACTGTAGATCTGGGCTACAAAAATATGAATGAAAAAGTAAAAGTATTGTATGAAAAAAAACTGATCACTGATCAGATCTAGTACCTCTCTCTCTCTCTCTCTCTCTCTCTCTCTCACACACACACACACACACACACACACACACACACACACACACACACATGTTATGACCCTACATTTATGATATAATTATAAACCTAATTGCAGTAGAAAAAAATATCATATATCAGAAACACCAGGTTGTATTTTGCAGAATCTTCTACAATAAGAAACAAGTTCAAGTTTTAAGATCCTACAAAATTCTTCATTGTTTCTGATGCATTTCATCTACAATTTTATCCCTCTGAAAGCCCATAAATTTCTGTCTGAGAGGAAATATAATTACAATCTTTCAGCTGAAAATATTTTATGAAGCACTAAATAACTTTTATGAGCAGGTATTTATTGTATGTAATAGGAAACGTTTCATCACATCTATTCTAAACCCTTCCTTCTTCAAATTCCTCAATATAAAATGAAATCAAAGCCATAAACAAAGCATCATTTTAGAAAATGAGCAGTCAGGAAGATTTTAATTGGAAAGTTCCTAGAGACATTTCTTTTAATTGTCAGTTGTCTTGGTTGCAGCTTTTCCTCCTGTTCCTCAGGGTTATCCTTCCTCCCCATTCCAATATTTTAGAAAGTGAATGTCATGCTGACACAGCTAGGGAAAAGACGTTTCATTACCAGAAACAAAAACAGTGGGGATTTTTGCAGAGACCCCCATCTACATTGCAACTTCTGGATGACTGCTCTTTATAATTTCAGTTTGCCTTTTATTTTTTTTCCTAAACAAGTGTATGCAGACTTTAAAATAAAGTTTCCCAATATTTCTGCTTCCTCTGAATGCCTTTTGAGCCTCTAGTCTAGGGCCCAGAGGCATTCTTGCTTTGATTTATACTTTTACTACAGCCTTAGACCAGCATAATTCTTGCTTTGGTTTCCATTTAATTTTTAAAATCAAATATTCTTTTAAAGTACATTATTGCTCTTGGTCTAAGGGATTGGAGGATAAAAAGGTTAGATATGGAGGTATTGCAAAATGTGGGGGAGGAGGTGGGGGAGAGATGAGGGAGGACGTGATTTTTAAAGGGAGGGATGGGAGAAATAATGCAGAAAAAAGGAACTTAAAAGTTACTTGTGTTGTTTATAATATCAGACAAGATAACAGTAAATTATGTGAGCAATAAGCTTCAAAAATGTCTTGGATATGAGAAAACATTGAGAAATTAGAAATAGACACCCTAAAAGACAAGTAATGGGAAAGCAATGTCAAATTATTTCACTAAATATTAAAGGTCTGGGAGATCCTATCAAGAGAAAAATAATTACTAATTATCATAAATCAATTAAGCCATGTGTGTTTATGTTACAAGAAATATGTACAATAAAAATAACAAGGAAATTTGACCATAGAATATTAATTCTAGTATTAATTCACCTATATACAGTATGCTCCTAATTAAGTAATCAGTTTTGGTTACTTATAAAAGATTATGAACAGTAAAAACAAACACATACATGTTATAACATTAACTTATTAAAACCTTAGGCTAGAATGTTTAAGAAATTTCAAAATTTAATGCATAGTTGTAGATTTATAAATGCATAGGCAATTAGGAATTCTGCAATACATATCCTTTTAAAGTATATTAAGTAGAATAAAATCAAGGAATATTCGGCCTACCACATCTTGGGTACAAAAATCCAATCAGCAGAGAAATAGATTTTCTAACCAAGATGTCTATAGAAACGGCCAGTTGCGGCCGTTTCTGGACCGGGACGCCTTACTCACGGTCACTCATGCCCTTGTGACTTCCCGCCTGGACTACTGCAATGCTCTCTACATGGGGCTTCCCTTGAGGAGCACCCGGAGGCTCCAGCTAGTTCAAAATGCGGCCGCGCGGGCGGTGTTGGGAGGGACCCGTCGCTCCCACGTCACGCCGCTTTTGCGCGAGCTGCATTGGCTGCCGGTAGCCTTCCGGGTGCGNGGGACTGGCCTAAGGGATTTTAAAGGGGTTTTAATTACTTTTAATTTGACATATTTAAATATTTCGTTTTAATCAAATTTTAATTAGGTATAATATGTATAACATGTTAGTATTTTATCCAATTGTCAGCCGCCCTGAGTCCGCAAGGAGAAGGGCGGGATATAAATGTAAATAATAAATAAATAAATAAATAAATAAAATGTATTGGTGTCCTTGGGCATCACATTGCTTACCAACTGGTATCTCTAAGACATCACATTTTAATATGGATATATCCAGTGGTGGGATTCAAATATGTGAACAAACGGTTCTCTGTGTGGATGCCGCTTCCAGAAGTCCATTCTGGGCCTGGGCAACAAAAAATTAGCTACCGGTTCTGCCAAAGTGGTGCGAATTGGCTGAATCCCATCACTGGATATGTCTCACCATATTATTCAAATACAATCCCCATCACCTTTTGCTATTGACCATGTTTAATATGGCTGATAGAAGTTGATGTTTAACAATATTATTTATATATAATAATAATAATAATAATATATTTTGTTTGTTTGATATGCCACCTGACTCTCAGCAACACTGGGTGGTTTACAGATTGTTAAAACTATTAAAAACAAGACTACAATAAAACACAAAAATGAAAAGTAAAGATGACCAGGATAATGACAAACCTGGATGGGAAAAAAAGAACCACCGAAGTGTAAAGGGAGCTTCAATCATGCTTGCCAAGGGCCTGAGAGAAAGTCATGTCTTCAGAGGCCTTTGAAACATCAACAGGATAGAGTCATTTGAATCTTGGGGGAAATGTCATTCCAGAGGGCAGGTGCTACCACAGAGAATATGTGCTTCTGAGATTCTGATAGAGGGCAATTTTAATTAAAGGAACCCAGAGTGCTTGAATTACACTGGAAGACAAATGGCAACCAGTGCAGTTCATGAAACAGATGTTACCGTACTTGGTATACTGAACCATGCCAATCATTGCCAGTGGCACTGCATTCTGAACCAGTTGAAGCTTCAAGGCAGTATCCAAGGGCAGACCCATACAGAGCACACTTATCTGGACTGGAGATGAGGGGATTTTTTAAACTATACTATCAGTGTTCGCTCAGGGAGAAGGGCAATGATTTGTTGACATTGATTTCTCTTGTTTCCCTCCTGTTGAAGGGAAACAGGAACATCACTAACTGGCTCATGGTGGTCTATGTTTCAGTTAGAAGTAAAAAGTTATTGCAGGTTAATTCTAAACTGCTTTGGAAGAACTGGAAATAGGACTAGGGATGTAGAAATATCTATATCTGCCTTGAATTTGCTTATGAGCCCTGGATTCAGTGGCTGAGACTTTAAGCCATGAATATTCTTGTTGGCTTATCTAACAAAGATTTGCTGTGTCACATACTAAACCTCTTAGCCAGCAGAAGATAATAATGCTACCTTTTCCAGAATGTGAGAATGTGTAATGAGAGCATGTCAAACTTGTGACATTGTCTCAGTGTATGGTATATACTGTATTGAGCTTGTTTATCTGTATTTGGGCTATTCAGAAGGCTCACAGATGCAAAACATTTAAGCATCATCATCATTTTAGCAACATTTAGCTTCAGACAGAAAGACTGAAGTTGTTAAAAAGAAAAACCAAACAAAAATAAGACAGAATTGTCCCAAACTCAAAAGGCTCAAATATTCAAATATTATATGGTAAAATCAAAGATACCATCAGATCTTTTACTTCTTTTATTTATTTATTAAATTTGTTTGCTGTCCATCTCCCAGAAGGAGACTCTGGATGGCTTGGAACATAGAATTTTGATTAGTTCATTGGAACTAATTTCATTTATTATTATTT